GTGAGGAGGGGGCGCCCTCTCGCCATAGGGCGGCGGGGGCCGGGGAGAGGCGCGGGGTGAGGCCGGCTCTGCCCCTGCCCGGGGGAAGCGCCTCCGAGGGGAAATGGTGGAAGGGGGGGAAGGGGGAAAAAAAAAGAAAAGAAAAGGAAGGGGAAAGGGGGAGAAAATAAGAAAAAGCGAGACAGAGGCGCTGGCGCGTCCGCTCGCGGGGAAGACTGGGGAGGGAGGGGCGAGTAAAAAGCGCCGGCCACCTAGCTCCGCCCTCGCGGACTGATCTCGGCCGCGCGCGGCTGTAAACAACGCAAGGGTTCTCTCTTCAACTTCCGGTGTCCCACGGGAGCCTAGAAGAATTTGAGCAAAGCAGAACCTCTGGAGAAGATCTATGGAAGGAGTTGGCATGGGTGAGGAAGGAGGAAGTGCGTTTGATGTGCACAAAGAGAAGGAAAGGTGTGCGAACTCGGTGACCTTTGGGAGCGGAAGAACCCTTCTCCTTCCACGCGGTGACGTAAGCGGCTTGGTTAGCCGAGGAGGCGTGCAGCAGCCGGAGAGTATGCTGCGCATGCGCCTCTGTAAAGAAAGACGTCCCTAAGCGCTCGCCTCAGGGAAGGGTTTCTGGGCGAGCGCCTGGATCCAGCCTATAGTCTCCCGGTATTTCCCAACCTAGCTTGTCTCTCTAGCTCCTAAGCGAATTTCATGAACGGAGCTGGTGATATTTTGTGTAAAGATCACATTCTCTATTACTTCGCCAAAAAAATTCATGTTGTACCCTTTATATTGACGATGATGGGCGTGTGGCTTTTTATTGGTCTGTGGGTGTTGGAAGACTCTGAAGCACTTTAGAAATCAGAAAAACTAAGAGGATCATATCCTGGGTGCTTATGGCCACTTTAAAACAGTGGATCACGCTACCGACCGACGCCTTGGCACTGGGCCAAGGGAATTCTAGTCACCAAGCGATATGTCTAGGAAGTTTTATTCCTAGTGTTAAAACGGACCCTGTTTTATCATGTTTTATCAGGGTCCGTTTTATCTCTAGGTAATTAACGAATGTGAAATGTGTTTTATTAACTTGGAGTCCTTTTTACTCCAGTTGGTAGATTTTGCTTGTCTTATCATGGTCTTATTTGCTGACACTCTTAGCGAATAGCTTTGGGGAGGGGAAAACTGGAACTCAACCATTTATATAGTCACGTACTTATTTTACATCAGTGAAAAAAATGTGGACCAGGTTCTTACAAAACTGGGATTAGCTTGAAGACAGAGAAGGCCCCTGCCTTGAAGGAGTGTGCAGTTTCAGCACAGTGAATAGCCATTGAACTAATTATCACGATTGGAAATCGCCTAATACACTGTCGTACTGTACAACCATCCCCTCCCTAGAACAGAAGGTCATAGATGTCAGGAATCTCGTAGCCTTTGTTTTACGCTGCATCTCTGTGTGATATTGAGAATATCTGACGACTGGCTGGATAAACGGGCGCCAGTAGCAGAAGTGTCAAGATGGAAAATTACAGGCTGCTTTGGAACCACCCTTAGCTGGTTGGGCTCCGTGAAGGTTTCTTTGAAGAAGTGACTAAGACGAGACTTGAAACCACTGGGCAAAGGAAAGTCCGAGCAAAGGAAGCAACGTGTGCAAAGGCTCATCTTCCTCTGAGACTCAAGGGGGAGAAAGCTGAGGCCAGAGAGGAAGATTCCACGGAAGGCAGAGGTGAATAGGAAGCGCTGGAAGGATTTCAAGTAGGTTAAATGTGTGCCCGGCATGTCTCCACCTCAGGCTTATTCTGTATTGTTACCTGGTTTTTATTTTATATGACCTGTTGGGGTGCGGTGTCAGCCCGGACACTAAATTACCTCTCTGGACCAGACCCCAACATAAACTATCTCTTTCTGGACTGGCATGGAGGTGCGGAAATAAAGACACAACTCACGGTTTTTTCGGGAGGGAGATTCTCAGTGATCCCTCATGAAATCCTGAGTTCACAACCTGAAGAGTTTCCCTCTTTTTCTCCAAACAGCCTTATATATCAAAACATAAACTGAGGGGGGAAATCATTAGCATTCTGTTTCCTAGGTAACAAGGTGAATGGCTTTTAGTCTCATCCACAACTACCTGTGCTTTCTGTCACGTCTTCCTGGTCAGTATGCTAGCTCTGTCCTGTAGGCTGAATTAGCACCTCTTTTCAGGCATCCTCCAAATTACAAAGAAAGGAGCAAAACAACATCCTGACCTCTTGTTAAGGTAGAGACAGCCTGTCTGGAAGGTTACGTGACCACTTCAGGTGTGGCCTATGGCTTTAGAGCCTGGCTGCCATACCATATAGAAGTATGGGCCTACAGTGAACAACATTTTAATGGATAATCGTCTCAAGAGCATAGATAGCCTTTCTGCATAATTTATTGCGGCACAACTCTGTTGTTGCACTATACAATCAATTCTGGTTCCCTTCCTGCAAGAAGAATGATTGGGGAAGAGTACAGCTCAGCAGTAGTCTACTCGCTTAACTTGTGCAGGGGCTTGGACCCCTCCCCCCTAAAACCACCCCACCCGACCGGGGGGGGGGGGGGCACGTGTGCGTGCGTGCATGTGTGCGCATGTGCGTGTGGCTCACCACTGTCTCCACCTCCAGCTCCTGGTGATCTGTCACCCTCTTCTGGACTCCAAAGGCACCGGCACTACACTGGCACATACCTAACAG